CTACAACTATTGTTGTTAGGATTAAAGTTTATTCATTGGTTACTTTAATTACATTTCACAGGAATTCCCGGGATTCATAAAGCAAGTTGTGGATCAAACAGAGGTGAATTTGAGACGGATCCAAGCCTTTGGAGTGAAGAAAATAGCAGTACCGTCGTTGCAACCGCTCGGTTGCCTCCCCGGCGTCACGGTTGCTTCCTCGTTCCAGCGTTGCAACGAGTCGCAAAACGCCTTAGTGAAACTTCACAACAACTTGTTGCAACAAGTTGTAGCGAAGCTCAATAACGAAACCAAGCAATCAACTTTCATCATTCTTGATCTCTACAATGCTTTCTTGACCGTTTTCAAGAACAAAGGAGCTAATCCAGGTAAAAAACATAATGTTTTAAAAACTTTTCGCAGTTTGATCTTTAAGAAAACATGTTTTATTTTTTCTTTGGCTGATTGGTTTTACGGAAATACAGGGAGTACGAGGTTTGAGAGTCCATTAAAGCCGTGTTGCCTAGGCGTGAGCAGCGAGTATAGTTGTGGAAGTGTGGATGCAAAGGGAGTGAAGAAGTATGTGATATGTGATGATCCTAAGACCGCTTTCTTTTGGGATAGAAGTCACCCTACTGAAGAAGGATGGCGATCGGTTTACTCGGTTTTACGCAAAAGTCTTACCGCATCTTTGATGAAAGCGTGAGAAAACACTTTTTTAGGGTTCTTCTTTCGAAATTTAAGTGTTTGTTTTTTCTATGTTGTTCAGTATCTCTTTATTCATTTGTGTTTCTATGTGTTTATGAGTGTTGTGTGACTAATAAAACCTCTAGACTTGTTCATTTCTATTATAAATACACATTTAATTTAGGTTCATTTAGAGGGAAAATAAAATAAAATTAAGAAACTAATCCACCGAAAATTAAGGTAGAATAAGATCCTAAAAACAAGCCAAAAAACTCTCAGTCGTATAACTAAGACTTGGCCAAAGTAGACAGTTTAAAAAGATAAGTGGCTCTTAAGAAGTAAGATTAACACTACGAGTGACAGTTAGATTTTCTTCTCAACCAAAAAGCAAATCTCAGTATCAAAAGATGGTTTCGAATTTTCGTTTATGGTTTTTTATACTCTGTTTTTACCTTGTTAACACCGCGATTAAAGCAGTCTCCGAAGATGAAATCGAAGAGAGAAAGGTAATAAGTATGAGTGATTAGTGTTTTTTTTTGTGTCGAGTGATGAAACAACAATCTCTAATACTTTTGTTCTGTTTCTCTTTCTTTAAAGCCTTACATTGTGTACATGGGAGACGCTGGAGCGACTGAGAATTCTCATGTTGAAAACCATCACAATCTTTTATCGAAAACAATCGGAGAGTAAGATTCAGTTCTTGCTCATAGATTCTCTGTTTGATTTTATCGAAAGCTTTTTATTCGAGATTATATCGTTTTTACGGGGTTTTTTGTAGCGAGAGCAAAGCAAGAGAGGTTAAAATGTATAGCTATGGGAAGAACATTAATGGATTTGTGGCAAGACTTTATCCTCATGAAGCTGAGAAGCTATCACGTAAGTAACAAAACCTTTATAAAGTTTTAAAACCCGATGCGATTAATGAATTTTGTTTCGGATTGTTTCTTTCGCAGGCGAAGAAGGAGTTGTATCGGTGTTTAAGAACACTAAACTACAGCTTCACACGACAAGATCATGGGATTTTCTAGGGTTTGTTGAGTCTAAATACAAAAGAAGTGTAGCAGTAGAGAGTAATATCATTGTGGGAATTCTTGACACAGGTAAAATAAACCTAGAACTCGAATCTGAAAAAACCGATCTTTAACACTTCGTTTTTGTTTTTAAAAGGAATCTATATCGACTCACCAAGCTTCGATGACAAAGGCTATGGACCTCCTCCAGCTAAATGGAAAGGAAAATGTGTAACTGGAAATAACTTGACTAATTGCAATAAGTACAAATTCCTCTGTTTTCATCATCTTCTACTTCCTCTGTTTCTGCAACTTCTCTTTCTTTCATTTTTGAACTCAATTTGGTTTTGTATTAATGTTAAAAAAACAGTAAAGTGATAGGTGCAAGGTACTATCACCTTGAGCAACAGAGACTTTTCGATAGCCGGGGACAAACCGCTGCGGATTACGATGGTCATGGGACTCATATATCTTCCACAATCGCCGGTGTTTCTATCTCCAGCGCTAGCCTCTTCGGAATTGCAAATGGCACGGCTCGAGGCGGTGTTCCTTCTGCTCGAATAGCTACTTATAAGGTTTTTGTTTTTATCCCTTTCAAATTTTTGCTCTGTTTTCTTGGAGCATAAGGAATATCTAACTTAGTTAAGCTCTGTTTTCTTGGAGCATAAGGAACATCTAAATTAGTTAAGCTCTGTTTTCAAATTAAGGTGTGTTGGGACGAAGGATGTTCAGCCATGGACATGATGGCGGCATTCGACAAGGCGATTTCTGATGGTGTCGATGTGATATCGATATCAATCGGAGGAGCTTCTCTTCCGTTTTTCGAAGATCCTATCGCGATTGGAGCGTTCCACGCTATGAAAAGAGGAATCTTGACAACTTGTTCTGCAGGCAACAATGGTCCTGCTCTCTTTACGGTTTCTAACCTTGCGCCGTGGGTAATGACTGTCGCGGCTAACTCGATCGACCGGAAGTTTGAAACTCTTGTCAAACTCGGCAATGGCCTCGCCACGTCTGTAAGTAACTAAGTATAGTGTCATTAATTTATCTTGCTGGTGTATTGGTATGGTAAGTAAATTATCAGTTCAAAATCTTCTATGTAGGGAATCTCTTTAAACGGATTCTCTCCAAAGAAGAAAATGTATCCTCTAACTAGCGGTTCGCTTGCGTCTAACGTATCTGCAGGAAGCTATGAACAACCAAGGTAAATCTCAAGATTCAAGAAACAGAGAAAAAGGACTCTTTTCTTCTCGCTTCTTGATCGTTTTAAGACGGTTTTGTTGTGAAATTTACGCAGTTCTTGTGAACCCGGGACAATGGGAGAGGATAAAGTGATGGGAAAAGTAGTTTACTGTGAAGCATCACGTGAAGAAGGAGGCAGTAATCAAGATCAAATAGTGAGAAACTTAAAAGGAGCTGGTGTGATCGTTCAACTTCTAGAACCGACTGAACGGGCCGCTGCAACTCTCATTGCTGGCTCTTATGTCGTCATGGAAGACGGTACAAAGATCTCTGAGTACATCAACTCCACCAAGTAATCAATCTCCTCTCGTCAAATC